TAATTCTTAGTTATGATTAATCTCATAGCAGTTATTAAATTTGTTACTAATTCTTTATTATTCCAACTCCATTGTTCTTATCAAATATTGAAAGTAATGCAATCTCAGGGCATATTTCTATATTCAAACTTAATATTTTACTACATTCTTGAAAGACCTCTTTCCAAACTTCATTATATAATCATATTCCTACCACATATGGAAATCTGTACCCACTTTCTGACTCTATCTTTTATGACCAATACCATCATAAAATGTATTACTCATATCTTGCCATTCTTTTAATTCTTATCTGTTATCTTAATAGGTAACATCATAAATTAAAAAATAATCATAGGCAATAGTGTCATCTTACACAATGTTTTTCTGGTTCTCTTCAGCCTGGAGAGGAGGAGACTCAGAGGGGATCTGTTGGCGACATACAGATATGTGAGGGGGTGTCACATGGAGGTGGGTAGAGCCCTGTTCTCCCCTGAAGAGGAGGGCAGGACGCGCTCCAACGGAGCAAAGCTCAGGGAACCAAGGTTCCATTTGGATGCCAGGAAGCACTTCCTGACAGTCAGGACCCCGAGGGTGTGGAATGGGCTTCCACGAGAGGTCGTTAAGGCCCCATCGGTGCGGGTGTTCAAGGATAGGCTGGACATGCACATGGTGGGCATGTCGTGAGCGGTGCCAGCTGGTGCCGGAGGTCAGACTAGATGGCCCGGGAGACCCCTTCTGACTCACTCTGTTTCTATGTTTCTATGTATTCTACCAAACCAACATAATTTAATCTTCCTGAATTCCTTGATAGCTCTAGTTATCTTAACTTTACATCTTTAACTTTAAATTTACTCCTAATTTTGTAAACCGTCCCGAAATGCTAGTAATGGCATGGTCTATAAAAGCTTTAAATAAACAAACAAACATTTTTTTCTTTCTCTTCTTTATCACTATTAAATAACATCATTTCTGATTTATCCCAGTTTATCCTTAAACCCACTATCTCTTCAAATCCTTCCAGATGTAATCTAACCTAATTCATAGCTTCTAATGGATCCCTTATTGTTAACTAAGTATCATCAGCAAATAGGCTAATCTTAATCGCATTCTCAAAAGCTATACCTTTCATTAAATTATAATTCTTTATACTATTTGTTAGTAGTTCCATGACTAAAGCAAACAATATTGGGGAAATGGGACATCCTTGTTTAGTACCTGGTTATCGGAAGGAGCGTCTCCTTCCGTATGTGCCTGCCCACCCCTTAAGAGCTGGGTTGGAGGTCCTTCTTTGGGAGTCCTCCTTGAAGGAGATTAGGAAGGTGACTACCCGGAGAAGGGCCTTCTCTGCGGTGATGACCCGGTTATGGAACACGCTCTCCAGAGAAGTTCGCCTGGCGCTGACACTTTATTCTTTTTGGTGCCATGCCAGACCCTTTTTATTTTCCCAGTATTTTAAGGTTTAGATTGTGATTTTAAGCAGGGTTTTATTGTATAGAATGGATGCTGTGCGCCATTTTGTTTTATTGTAAGACCATCCCAAGACCACATGGTAGTGGACAGTATATAAAAGTTTTAAATAAATAAATAGTACCTCAGCCTAGGGATATTTGCTCTGCTATACCATTATTTACTATTATTTTTGATACATTATCTGAATATAATTGCTCTATTACACCTTTAAATCATTTTCCAAATCCTAATGTTTCTATTAATATGTTCATTGTTGGCCATTCCACATAATCAAAAGCTTTTAAAATATCTAAAGATATTATGCCAGCTTTGAGTTCTCCTTTACTTGTAACTGGTAATATGTTCAAAACTCTTCTGGTCAAATCTGCCATCTGTCTCCCTTCCACAGAGCCACTGCAGTAATATATTTAATAAAATATATTAAAAATATATGTTAATATATTTATCAATAAATTTTTTAATTCTATTTGCTAATATTGCTGTAAACTTTGTTGCATCTTGACTTATCACCAATCTAGGTTTCTTTAATTGTTGGTTTCATTAGGTCTATATGCATCTGTTGCAATTTTGCCCCATTTTTTTTCTCTGTATATGTTCTAACTTTGTTTAGTGATAATTCTCCACCTGTATGTAACTCAGAGAAAAATGATAAAATATTCCTAATTTATCTCTTGTTAAATTATACTTTCTCCCATTTTCATCACTAACTATTCCAATTGAATTTTCTAATTTCTTTCATTGTGTGAAATTCAGCAATCTTTAATTCTTATTACTAAATTCAAAGTACTCCCTTTTCAAATATATTAAATTTCTCTGTATTTTTTCATCTTCTACATTTTTCAATTTCTTTCTTTTAACTTGTATTTCTGCTAGGATTTAAAAATCTCTCTTTCTGATATATTTCTTCTCTAATTCCTTTTTTTCCCTTTCCAAATTTTCCACCTGGTTAAAGAGTACATGAGAATTCTAAGAGCTCGTGTGATGGCTGCAGGATGAATGAAGTAAATAAGAAAATGAAGTTTTTAAAAAGGGATAAAAAGGCTCAACCCTATGCAAGTTTAGACAGAAGAAATCCTAAAACTCTCAGCATTTTTCTGTCCAAGTATACATAGAATTATGTCCTGAATCACATTGAACGCTACATGTTTTATTACTGGAACAAGCAGCAGAGACGGGAGAAAAATAGACTGTGAGAGGTGATTAATCTGATAAAAATGAATAGGCTTAGGACCAAATATTTTCATAATCTTTGCAAGTGCGGAAGCTGGCTGTGGACCCCACAACTGGTTTCTTAAGCAACCTTACAGATGTCTACTTAGAAGTAAGTGCCTCTGAGTTTACTAGGACTTACCCCCAGGTTACAGGGTTCAATCCTTACTTCGATACCTTTTTCATACTTTGAACTTGATACAAATATGACTTATAAATGTCGTTTTTAATTGAAAACATATTTTTCAATTCTTTAATGATTCACATTTGTATTTTAAAACAATAAAAAGATTTTGAAAGTATTTGTAAATGTAGATGCATTTTTGTGTTGTAATTAGTGTGGAAAATTGATTTTTAAAAAGCAGAACACATTATATATAGAGTCATAATAATGTCACCTAATGCTAAGTTGTTCTTCTGTAAACAGAGGCAGAAGGATGGAGTCCTCAGTGTACCGATAAGCATTCTTGTTTCCTGTAACTCATATCAATTTCTAAAGTCAATCTGATTCTACTCCACTGAAATCAACGAATGAACAGAGACAGCATTACCCTTCTAGGGTGACTTTTAAATAATAGGTGCACAGGGGAAATTTCTGGGGGTACCAGTGTTGTGGCTCTTGAAAAACAGCCTGCTGTCCTCTCACTTCCCGACAAATAGATGGGGAAGAAATGGAGGTAGTGACAGATTTTATTTTCTGGGGCTCCAAGATCACCACAGATGGGGACTGCAGCCAAGAAATTAAAAGACGCTTGCTCCTGGGGAGGAAAGCTATGGCAAATCTAGACAGCATATTAAAAAGCAGAGACATCACCCTGCCAACAAAAGTGTGTATAGCCAAGGCTATGGTTTTCCCAGTTGCAGTGTATGGCTGTGAAAGCTGGACCATAAGGAAGGCTGAGCATCAAAGAATTGAGGCCTTTGAACTGTGGTGCTGGAGGAGACTCCTGCGAGTCCCTTGGACTGCAAGGCGATCAAACTGGTCAGTCCTAGAGAAGATCAACTCTGACTGCTCTTTAGAAGGCCAGATACTGAAGATGAAACTCAAATACTTTGGCCACCTAATGAGAAGGAAGGACTCCCTGGAGAAGAGCCTGATGCTGGGAACAATAGATGGCAAAAGAAGAAGGGGACGGCAGAGAATGAGGTGGCTGGATGGAGTCACTCAAGCGGTTGGTGTGAGCTTGGGTGGACTCCAGGAGATGGTGGAGGACAGGACCTCCTGGAGGAATGTTGTCCACCTCCTGACTAGCAAGCAAACCGCAATTGAAGCTTTTTAAGAACCTCTTTTGGGGTCAGTCAAGGATTTTAAAGGCCTGATTGCTGCATGGATGGGGCATTTTCCAGGTGGGGGGGGGAATATCTCTGCCCTGTGTGAGCATGTGAGAGACTGAGGTGGAAGAGAGAATCATACGGGATATTCCTGTCCTCCAAGTGAAGGCACTCTGCATGTGCTTAGAGGCACCTGGCCACATAACAGCTGGCAACCTCCTTAGGAGAACAGGTGAAGAGAGCAGGAGAAATGGAGGGACACCTGTGGCCAAGCCAAGCATAGACATGAATTTATTAATTATTTTATTAGAGCTATATCCCACAGCTCCTCCTGCTGCTCCCCACTTAGTCCCCAAAACAACAACCCTGCGAGGTAGGTCGGTCTGAGAGTCTGTGCCTGGCCCAGTCACGCAGCGGGCTCCATGGCTGAGCGAGGATTAGACCCCAGGTTGTTTGCGTCCCAGGACTACTGGCTGTCCCTGCGGGATGCTCCCTGGGAAGAGTCGGGCCCCTCGCCCCTGCCTGCCCCTTGCTCCTCCTCGCGATTGGAAGCGCAGGCAGGGCTGTGGGGCAGCGCCTGCGCCGAAGCCTTGCAAAGCCCCCCGCAGGCCTGGAAAGCCCCCTCCCCAGCCCGCACCCCCCACTCGCTGCGCGAAATGAGTCATCCTCCCAGCTGCTGAGCAAAGAATCCAAGTTTCCCAACATAGTCTCAACATGTTCCCGGGCGCGACCAAGAGGCAGAAGCCGCGGAGGGGCGCGCGCGGGCGGGCTCCCAGTGCTCTCGTGGCCGGCGGCGGCGTCCGCCGGGCGGGACGCGCTTTCCGAGCGGTCTGCGCCGCACCCCACCCCTCTTCCCCCGGAGGGCGAGGCTGACGGAGTGCCCGTGCCGTCCGGCTCCCCCTCCCTGGACGTGGTAGCGCCCGGCTTCGGAGGCCAGGCCAGGCAGGGACCCTACAATAGTTGAGCTTCTCTTTGCGGGATCAGCGCCTGCTGCAACTGGACGGCCAAAGGCTCCGAAGCTGGGAGGGGGCCGGTGGTCGGAGCTTGCCGGCTTTTTATTTATATATATATATATATATATATATATAAATAAAATACATATTCCAGGCTCCTTCACTGGAAAGTCTTTTTTCCAGATCCTAGCCACAAAGGTTTTGTTTTTTTAAATTGTGGAAGGGGGCGTTCCGCCCAGATTGTTGGCTTTCCGTATTTCTAAAAAGCCTGCATTTTATTTTCTGCTGGAGAAGAAACTCTTCACTGGAGCGATTTTTAAAAAATAATCCCCCACCCCCCACCCACTCCATCCCCCGGAAACTGATGAAGGCTGCAATTACGGAGGAATGAGAAAAGAGGAAGGACCTTGATTGATTTCTTGAAAAAAAGGCAAGGCTGTCCTCGGCTTGGTCTTGCTTCTACATTCAGGGATCGCGGGGGAGGGGAAGTACAACGCCTCGAGAAAGCACGAAGGGACGCGCACCCACCCACCATCCCCCTCCGAGCAAGAAGCCACCATGGAGAACAGGGCAGAGGCGGGGGAGGCCGGCATCGCCCTGCAGCAACAGCCGGTCGATATCCGAGGTAAATATTTGCTCTCCGCGAAGGGCTCTTCTCGACAGGCCGCCGCTGCGAACTGTGCAAGTGGGGAGGGGGCGCGGCAGGGCCGCAGACTTTGCAAACACCTCGTGGGCCTCCGGAGCGGGGGAGGGGCAGGGATCGCGCGCCCCTGCAGCAAGTTGGAGAGCAGCCGAGCTTGAGTCCTTCTCCCCCCTCCAGGAGAAGCCGCGAACTCCTCGCCTGGCCATTGTCTCTGGGTGCGCGCGTGTGTGTTGGGGGGGGGGGGGTCGTTTCGTTCATGGAAAGGCCGGGATTTGCATCGGCTTTGGGGACCAGGCTGGGATTTAGGGATGCACGCAGGCAGCGAGGGAGGCCTTTTCTGGGGTGAGGGCTCCCCGCTTTCTTTTAGGCTAGGAGGAAGATGGTGGGTGTTGGCCACGTCGATGGCTCTGCTTCCCTCCAGCCAAGGGCAGGGTTGCGCTGCCCCCGCCCCAGCAGCAGGGGGCGTCCGGCCAGCCAGGGATGCGGAGGCTATAAATAGCCCTCTTCTCCCCAACCAGCCGAGCCCGAGATTGGCATCTTCGGACGGCTGCTCGGGGAGGGGGCCGCTCGCTGGAGGAGGAGACCATCTGCCCCTTTCGTCTGACCTTGGTGGGCGTGGATGGGTGGGCCGGTCGCGGGGCAGTTGCCCGCCTAAGCCCGGTCCTAAGTCCCGCGGAAGGGATGTGCAGGGAAGGCCCCGGCCCGGCAGGGACTGAAAAGCAGGCTCCGCGGGCCTGGTCCTGCCCCCGCGTCTCTAGCCGAGGGATGGAGTCGGAAGGGGACGGATTTGGACCAGCCCGCAAGAGATCCCGCTCCCCTGCTGCTTGGAGGGAGAAGTTCAGGAGCTTCTCTTTCGGTTCACGGGTCGGTTTTATGCCGGCAGTGCTTTTTTCGGGAGGGGGTGGAAGGAGGAATGGTTTCTGCTCAAGTTCAGAGATGGAATTCCTCCTCTCCGCCTGTAAAGTTGGTCCTAATCTTAAACACGTCGTGTGCGCGCTGCCCCCTTTCTTTCAGACGAATTCTCCGCCTGTCTGCAAGGGTAACATCCTGTATGCATTTTCTGTTGCCAAATCTGGTTGTGCATATTGATGGACGTGGGGAGGGAGAGGTGCCATTGGTTGTGATTTGGACAACATCTTGGCCTCCTTTGCTGAGATTTGGGGGTGGGGTTGTTTCCAAGTCTTTTTGGAGTTATGCTGTGTTTTATTTATTTATTTATTTATTTATTTATTTATGTAGAAAATGTCTAGGCCGCCCCATTCGCCAAAGCCTCGGGGCGGCTTACAAATAAATAAATTAAAATACATAAATAACAATATAAAATACACATAACTGTATAAAATGTTTTCTCTCTGAACTTCTTTCAAGCCCTGTTTCCTAAAATCGTATGGGATGTGCAGCTTAAACTTTCTTTGAAAACTCCAGGGCCCTGTTTTTGAGTGGGGTTATTTGGGGTGGGGGAGTGTGTGTGTGTGTCTAATCCTCGATTTTAGTTTTGCACTTTAAAAGAGGACACTTCTTTGGATCTGATAAATTTTGGTGGCAGCTGTTTCAGCATATCAATTTTAAGCACTTCTCTTTGTTCTGCATTGGGGGGGGCTGCCAGACTATTTCCTGGACAGTATTAAGACTGCCTCTCACCATCCTTTACTCAAGAGTAGGCACTTCTGAAAACTTTCTGTGGCTTTACAGAATAAGAAGGGGGAAAGATGGTTTTTTAAGTACATAAATGGCTTGAAAGTAGAGGAGAGATTAGGCATCCAGATAGAGGAGTATAGGGTCCCCCAATTCCAAGCATTTTTAATATCCCAAGGTTGTTACTTTGCGATAGTAACTGGAGGATTGTACCATGTGGATGTGGCTTGGAAGAAAGGGGGCATCCGCCTTCTCCAAGGCTGACTGGGCGATTATGGGGCCCTCAGTCCCACACCTCTGGAGGGCCCCAAGTTGGAGAAGCCTGTGTCTCTTCATGGAGCCAGCAAGGAAAGAGTTAAGGAGGGGGGCTGCACTCACGTCTGCATCCCCCACAGCATGCATGGGATGTCGCCAGCTCTGACAAGCCTGCATGTTTTCTTATTTTTGGGTATTGGCAGCTCCTGCCAAGTCACTGGTGACTCTGCTCAGGAGAAAGCAAGAGCCAGGAAAATAGCAACCTCAGTGGGCCACTGAGCTTCGCCTACCATCACCCTCCCAGTTTTGGCATGGAATTTATTATAGGCTCCATGTGCATGTTGATTAGAAGGGACTGCAAGTTTCACGGGAGATGTAGCCAAAAACCTGCTTCTCAAGCAAAGTTCTTGTTGGACAGTTGGGCCAGGCTGAAGATATAAAGGGAGGGGAGTCCAGTTTTGAGACAGAGAACATAAGCAGAGCAAAATCAGACCAATGCATGCAGCATGCAGCTAAAGCCTAGGCTCTAGGCCAACAGGACTTTTTTGGATGAGAAAGGAGGCATTTTTCTGGTTAGGTATCTGTTTACATTTCTCCCCTGTGCCTTCTTCTATGTCAACATGGTGTGAGGAGGAAATGCCAGTGGAATAAGATGTGGCTCCAAGCTGATGCTTCTCTATTTTGTTATAGTCATTATGTATCACATTTATATCCTGCTTTTTTCCCTCTTCCAAGGAACTCAAGGCAGCTTGCATAGTCCTTCTCCGTGTTATCCTCATGACAACCCTGTGAGGAAGACTAGGCTAAGAGTCAAGTACCAGTCAAGTTGCCCAGTGAGCTTCCTGGCCAAGTTGGGACACTGCCCAGTATCTGGGTGCTGTCCCAGTCTGCCATCCCAACTGTGGATGAAAAACTTCAAGGCTCTACCTATCCTTTCTTGGGATTCTTTATATTTAAACAGGGCAGCCCTTCAGATAGAGGAGGGTCCTCTCTGAAAGAGGCCACCTGGCCACTGCCTCTCAAAGCAGCCGGGCAGCCTCTGGCCAGTTGCAGCTTTTCTTTGTCTGCTGTCCAGAGTTCCCACTAATTGCTGGTTGTGTGGCTCCACCTGGTTCTTCCAACCGGACACTGGCCTGCTTTGGATATAGTGCTGGGCCCAAACCAGGCTCAGGTGTTGTCTGAGCAGTGAGCAACTCCTCAGGCTGTTGTGTGCGTCCACCCACCTGCGAAACTAGGGGTGAAACTTCAGAATTGGAAGGCACTTTCGTTCTTGGAAGATCATCCTTCTGGAGTTGGCCCCATGAGGTGTGGAGTGGAGGAGGCTGCCGGCCCATTTTTCCGGCCATTTGCAGAGGTGACTCCATGGGCATTTTGGCTTTGCCAGGTGTCCCTGTAGGGGCTCCACTACTTCAGTGCTCCATCCAAATGGCCACCCCATCAGCTTGTGGTTCAGGATGGGATCCAGCTCCAATTCACTCTTCGGGACAAAGGAAACTATTTGTTTGGCACGTCTGTCAGTTGCCTGCACTGACCAGCAGCAGCTCTTTGGGACCTGACGATGCCAGGGAACCTGGGAGCTTTCGCATGCCGAGCACACGCAAAAGCTGAGTGCTGCGCACCCTTCACAGGGAGGCCGCGGCTGTTGCCTCGACATGTTACGGATCATCCTTGAGCGTGTGGTTTGCAGACGGTGGAGCAGAGGAAGCTGCTTATATTAAGTCTCAGCACTGGTCCATTGGCTTCACCAGTCGGCAGTTCTGAACTGGGAGCTGTCTGGGGTTTAGACTGGGATCTTTCCCAGCAACATGAAGGATTGAACATGGCACATTTGGTAGGAGAAAGGTGAGTTAAAACAGCTTTCCCCAACCTGGTATCTTGCAGACATTTTGGCCTTCAGCTCCCATCTGTCAGCATCACCAGTGGCCAAGGATGCTGGGATCTGTAGTCCAAAGGCTTCTATAAATACCATCAAAGTAGTGGGGCTGCACTGGGGCTAACATGGGGTTGGTAGTATGGGGGAAGCTGTAATGATTTAGAGGTATTTTTGAAACAGAGGGTGTTCCTGTTCTGATCTGCCAGTTTTGTACCAGAAATGTTACAACGGGAGTGGTCGTGCCTAAGGAGTAGGGAAGAGAGATTATTGTAAGTGGATGCAGAATTACATCTATAAGTTCTTCCGAAGCACGCAAAGACACGTCTGAGAAATAAGTATAAATGACACTCCAGCCATTCAGAGGCAATTTCTGCCAATGGAGCAAACGGGTCATTTGTGTCTGTGCCTCCCCGCCACCTGTACGGATTTACTTGCTTTTCCTTAAATTGTCAGTTTGTTTCATTTTATATTTCTACCAGAAAAGGGCCGACTTTTTCCTCTAGCACCGAGCTATGGCACCTAGTTTTCAAGAAAAAGGTTACAGGTTCAACAAACTGCTAACATTAAACGGGGAACTCGGCTAGAAGTGCGAAAAGTCCCTTCCTGGGATGTGGGAGAGATGTGCCCAATCAGAGCAGACCTGGGGTAGGTGACCTGGTACCCTCTGGCTGTTGTTGACAGCAGCTCCCATCTGCCCCTGCCACCCTGGCCGGGGACCAGGGATTATAGCAGTGCGCCATACACAGTATGGCAAAGTGTGCTGGCTGGATCTGCTGGAACATAGGCATCTTCCTGTGGTTTAAATAAAAGGCAGGAGGGGCGCAGAATGCCATGGGGGGCTCGGCTCGGGTTCTGCGAGCAGGCCCATGGGGAGAGCAGCCTCTCCCACTGAGTGCTCAGCGTTTGTATGCGGCGTGTGCGCTCCACCCAGCAGCTTGGCCGGAAAGGGAGCGGCTTTGTGCCCCTGTCCAAACCCCATGACTTACCCCTCCCCTGCCCAGTCTCCTCCAGAGAAGGCTGAGTCACCCCAGACCAAGAGGGATCAGATCTGACACAGCGTTAGATAGCTGCCTTTTTTTCTCTCTCGCCACAAAGTGAGCAGTTGCGGATGACACATTCTGAGCTCCCATTGTTTATGAAGCCGGACATTCCTTTCCTGTTTGGATGATCCTCTCTGGAGGCAGAGGCACAAGCGCCAGCAGGATCTGTGCACAGGGGT